TGGAATCAAAACATCAAAACAAACAACTTGCCATTGGCCAATTGTTGATTCATGTGGGTGTGTACATATATGTATGTATGTATGTGCACACATATGTCTGTACATAAATAATACGGTTCAGTGTGTCGCCAAGTAAGATACCGAACAAACACCTCAACTTCCACGAGAAGTGATCACAAGATCCCCCGTATCCATCCCATAATATAAACACCACGTCATCGCCTGTCTACCACCCTCCCATTTGTCACCCCCTTAAATACCTTCCAGCTTTAGTTTGCCATTTTTACCAGCGTTTTATTGTTGTTGCCATTATACTTTACTTTTCCTAATAATATTTCTGTTATTGCTGTTCTTCAAATCACATAGTGAAATCCATAATTCTGTGCAGAGAAATGGCTGGGCACGGTTGCGCCCAAAAATGTAGCACCATGTAAAAAAAAAGGGGTGATAATAGATAAAAACTATTTATACACCATATTAGGAAATATTAAGAATTTTTTTTTTAAATTATTTAAGTGAATAAATTTAAATAAATGTTATATTTAATTGCAATAAATCTGAATATTTTTCCATCCCTTCTTAAGTTTTATAACAGATGAATAGATCTATTCATTTGGCCACAGCTGTCGTTTATGTGGTGTGTTTATGCGTAGGCGACTGCAGACTTTGGTGGTGGCGTAGCCGAGTGGGCGGTGTGGGAGGTCTGGGGGAGAGGTGGCACCCTCGTCATACGACCAACTGAAGAACGTCGACTATGTCATGTGTTGTGTGCTGTGCGTAAGTGTGCGTGTTCTTGCTAATATTGTTATTGCTGCCGCTAGTGCTGGGTACTGGGTATTATTTACGTGGACCTTAGACTCCCCGCTCCCGATAAGATTCGGGAGCAACAGCAACTTACATATGAGGATGGGTTGGGGCGACGGATGATGCGATGATGGTGGCGCTGCGGTTGACTGGACGCTGATGCCGCTGCGGCAATGTGTTGTACGCGGATGCGCATGTGAATCATACATAGCTGTTTTTTTTTTTTTGCATTCGCCAACAGTTCTTGGAACATTGAATTCCGATTCATTCGATTTTCCACGAGGCGAATGCAAATAAAAAAAATACAATTAAAAGCGGCTCGACGAAAACAAGTTGAGTCATACCGCAAATAAATACCTTGCATTGCGAAATGAAAAAAAAATGAATGGCATAAGCAACAATGATTGCGTAATTGCTACCAATTTAGGCTTGTGATCCCAAATGTGGGGTGTCTCACTGGCTACTGGCCATAATAGCAATAAAAAAAAATAGCAAGAAGGCTGAGAGCCCTAAAATTCCCAACAAGTTATTGTCGTCACTTAGAAGATCGTAATTATGTTGACAAGATCTTTTATTTTGTCGAGTTTTTAAAAATTTTATTTATTAAACCGGGTTGACCTGGAGTCCCCTATAACTTAATTACTATTTATTTAGTTTTTAGCATAACATTATTATTATTTCCACACTTTGAAATAGATAATGCATTAATAATTTTTATTTGATATATTTATTAATGCACTTATCTTTATTTATTATATTATGTTATTATATTGCGAAAAACGTTTGCTTTAAATTTCTTGACCAAAAATTGTGATAAATCTTCACATAAAAGGAGCAAGGGAAACAAAAACAACAATTATAATCAACGGAGCAATAAACTTGCTATGCGTGCTTGCATGTGGGGGGGGGAATACAGCGGCAGAGGAATAAGAGCGGAGAGATGGAGTGGGGAGCGATTAGAAGACGCGCGTCTAAGTTCAAGGCCAAGCAGTTCACAGCATAAACAGCAAGAGCAAAAAAAAAAAAAAAACAATAACAAGAAACGTATGAAGCCGGCTGTGGGAAAGAGAAGGCGAGAAGCAAACGCAGCTGAAAAAAGTGCACACAAAATGGTTTGGTTGTATATGTAGTAATGTGTGTGGGTTGTTGTTTTTTTGTGCCATCACAGCGAAAAAGGTCAATGACACCTGTCTGTTTGTCTCGCTCGGCTCGACTCACTCACTCACACACACACACACACACACACGTAGGAGCTTATCACCGGCCACTCTCTTTCAGCAGTCGTGGCCTCTCATTCTAGCATGCGCGCATGTGGTCAAAGCTTTTTGTCGAATTTTCGGTTTAATTTTTTGTATTTTTATACCTTTTTGACGGGGTTTCGTCATCTCAGTTTACACGAACTTCAAGTGAATGTAATTGTACTCATATTTGGATTAGTTCTTTATTTATTTACTCGTTTTAAACGGCTCGCTTCATTGTTTAGTATTTGTCGTAACATTACCATTAAATAATTTAAGGTGATTTTATTGTTATTTATTTTTAATGTTATTTAATTATTTAATGTAATTTAAAGGTTTTTATATTGTTTTAATAGGGGTATTAAAGATAAGTTGAGTAAAAATCTCTGATGTTATTTTTACAGGATAATCATCTTTCAATACATTGTATATTTCAATGTTTTTTTTTTTATCCTCTGTATCAGTGTGTTTTTGTTTTTCGTTTCTTTTCGACGCTGCTAATTAGTGTGCCCAAATTATGCGCCAAAAATTCCCAATGAGTAGAGGATGGTCATACGTCATCAACAATAGCCGGACAAACAATTTCCGGTTTTTGCCTCACACCATAAAAAATATATCAAAAATAACACACAAAAAAAAGAACAGAAAACAACAATAGTAACAACAACAACAACAGAAATCATAAAAATACATGAGAAAAACAACAAACTTGGCCCGGGTTCCGTCATTGCCTCATCCTCTCTATAGATCTGCTGCCCGTTCTGCTTTATTTTGGTTTTATTTCGACAATTTGTTTTTGCCGCGACTTATTTTTGTCACAAATACACACGGACACACACACACACACACTGGCACTTATGGTTACACACTAGCGTATACGCAAGCAAACTCGATTTAAAAATAAATAAATTACGCACAAATACAAATACATACATTGGCCAAAATTCCGCGGGCCTCGTCAAAAATATAGCATGATTAATACAAAAAATGCGCAATTTTTGGATCCCTTTATTTTTGTTTTGTTTTCGCGGTGCTATTTTTGTTGTTGTTATACTGCTACTAACCCCACCTTCCAATGTTTTTTATGGCATTTTTCTCTTATTATACAATAATAACGCGAATATAATAAGAGCACAGCAAGTGGGCAGGCACACCAGAAGTAGCTCCAACAACAAGCGCAGCGGCATGCCAATTAGTGCTTATGCTTTTTAATTAGCAGACAGACCCATCCCCCATGAGCACCTCCCAATTCCACTTTCCACCTTCCCCAAAAACTAACTACCTCCTAACCGACTGTATATGGTATGTATATGTACATATGTATGTACATACATATTTTCCCCAATGCCAGTTATTAGTGTGTAAATGCCTTTTCTATTTCCCACTAAGTACGGTTTCATTTCAATACAGTTTCCTTGTTCAGCAATCTTTCATATTGTAAAAATATAAAAATAATCAATTTAAGTTTTAAATAAAAGCTTTTTGAGGGCTTTAGATCAAAACTGGACTTTTTGCCAAAACCTCCGTTGGGAATTCTATCGGCAATGCTGAGGCAAGAATTTACATATGGATGTACCTACATACTTATGTATGTACATATATACATTTGTATCTATGTATGTATGTTGTTGAAAAAATTTGAACTAAGGTGGTACATATGTATGCACATAGGTATGTATATATTATAGTATTATATACATACATATAAATACATTTCAAGATATTTTTAAGAACAGAAACTCTTTAATTTCCATTCCATCATTTCACTGAAAAGACTAACCTAACATAGTCATAAGGACTTATTTTCACCAAAAAATTTCACAAATATTTCACAGATACAAAAGCTTGATCGAAAAAAAAACACAATCGCATATAAGAACACATCCTTTTATTTGGAATTCTGAAACTCAAGAATTTGGTCATAATAATTGAGAAAACAAACCAAAAACAGAACGAAAATTGCACCGTCATGCCATTTTGACAGCCAATGAAATTATGTGCTGCGCGCCTTTGTAGTTAATTAAGCACATTAAAATCAGCGTAAACAACATTTTCATCCAACAAGAAATTTTAAAACAATAATTATAAAAAACTGATCAACAAAAACCTTGAAAAATCAACAGGTGACTAGGCACAAAAAACATTGATGAGACAAATTATTACAAATGTTGTTACAGACGGGTTAAATTGAGGTGGCAAGGCAATAATACAGATTTATAAGAAGGTAATAATAAAAATATTTATTATTCTTGGTGATTAGAAAAATACCAGTCTCTGTAACAATTTTAAAAATTCTATTTAAAGCATATTAATATATGTACAATTTAATTAATTGTTCAATGAAAATGCAATCTTGTACTTGAACACATATTTTAAGACCCAATAACATTAGCCTAATGCGGGATTTCTTTAATTGGTAATTTATCTGAACCACAAAATGCGTGCAACAATAAAAACAACAACAACAAAGCAATACGAAAGAAACCGGCAGCAATCGACATTCTTATATATTTTGGTTGCTCTCTCTTCTCACGCAGGCGCAGGCATTGCTCTCCGCCCGCGACAGAGGAAGAGAGAGAGAGAGAGAGAGAGAGAGAGCTGAGTGCGAGAGGGAGTGAGAGCAACCGGGTGCGACCAAGAGGGTGAGTGCGAGCGAGAGCCAGCGAATAATGCTGGCTGCGCTGCTCATTCACAAAACGTAAAGCGGCGCAAAGAAGAAGAGGAGGAAACAACAACAGGCCCAAGATATGATAGATATGGAACAACAACAAGCGGAACAAGAACAAGAGAGACAGGGCGCGTAAAAGGGGGAGGAGGGAAGGAGACGGGAGCAAAAACAACTTGGCATAAATTGCTGCTGCGTAGTAATTTCAGTCGAGTATTTTTCTAGTTACGTTTTCACTACCATTTGTCGATTTTGATGTTTCTATTAATTTTCTTTAATTCATGCTAACTTACCTCTTTGCATCGTGATTGTTGTTAACCATTGTTGTTTTTGTTGTTCCCCGTCCTCGTCACTTTTTTCACTTTATTTTGGTATCGATTTCAAAACACAACGACGCACTTTCCCAGACGCAGGCGTAATTAAAATTTTCTTGTGTTTTATTCGCGTGCTTTCTTTTTGCGCCGCAACTTCACAACATGCTCCGCATGTGTGTGTGTATATATATATATATTTGTGAGCCTGTGTACACTATTTTATTTATTTATTTGCCGTAGATCTCGCGCACACACACACACACTGATACACTGGGCACTAGCTCGGGAAAACGCCCGCACTTGTATTCCTTGGAATTTCGTATATTCCCCCGGGTTTTCACAAATACACCTCCTGGTATTTTGATTCGCTCTTCCCATTCATTAAAGTGCACTAAACACCGCATCCGTTGCCTTCACACACTGCCAGTATCAGATAATCGGCAATCCACTATCACCTTCGGCGCATATTTTTGTTTCGTTTCATACGAGCGCCTATTTTCCGCGGTCCCCGACGTTCCTTCGAAAAGCAAAACAGTGTTCCAGTCACACCTGGAGGAAAATTTAAAAACAGCGGCAGGCGACGAATCTGGCCTTTGATTTTCCGTTTTCCGGCGGAGAGCGTGCGCGACGTTGTCTTGCTGAAAATTTTTGGAAACTGAAAAAACGCGCGCGCCTTTTCGGTGTTGCCATTCGATATTATTGGCCCGATATCGAAATCGCGATATTTTTGTTTGATATTTTTCGATATTTTTGCCTTGGTCTCTCTGAATTTCAAGTAAAATGTCAAAATGAGGTTTTACAGGCTTGGGGTCGAATTCTCGTTTTTGGGGTCGAATTCTCGTTTTTGGGGTCGAATTCTCATGTAGAGTGTAAAAATGTAAGTATATAAAAATACCGAAATTGCGATATTTGGTATTTTCTCCATGGTCACTCTGAACTTCAAAGTAAAATGTCAAAAGAAGGTTTTACAGGCTTGGGTCGAATTCTCATGTAGAGTGTAAAAATGTAAGTGTATCAAAATACCGAAATTGCGATATTTGGTATTTTCTCCATGGTCACTCTGAACTTCAAAGTAAAATGTCAAAAGAAGGTTTTACAGGCTTGGGTCGAATTCTCATGTAGAATGTAAAATGTTCGAGAGCGAAACTGTTAACAACAGCACCTTCGGCTCCGTTGCAACCGAACCGAGAGAGAAATGTGAATTTTGTTGTTATCTCCCCCTTGGTCACTCTGAATTTCAAAGCAAAATGTTAGTTAACATAGAAATGCTCTCGATACAGAATTTGACTCGTTAACAGGGTTTTGCTTATGGAATTCCCAAATTGAGCGGGCGTTAAACATGAATGGCAGTGTTGCCGTTTTAGGGTTTTTCCCACTAGATCTGGCTGGGCTACTTTTATATTTTACGATACCACACATAAATACTTTGTAGTATTTTTCCATTTGAATGGCAACAAAAGTATCTATATGCCAAAAGAGCAATAAACTTACAAATCTTTTTTGAAATTGTGTAACAAAAGCTTAAAATAATTTGGCACTAAATTGGGAAACGTTTATCGAAGGTTTTCGATTAATATTAGTATTAAGTTCAGTTTGAGTAGGACGTTCTGTGCTGCGTTGATTTAAAGTGGAATTAACTGCATCTGTCCCGATCGATTTAATATTTTATACTTAAAATTAAAAGAAAAAAAACACATAAAATAATATTTTTAAAATCAGATTTTTTCTTAGATTTTTTCAATTGGAATTTAGTTTTTTTATCTGTTTATTTTGGGTAATCCCGCATTTTTGCTCAGATACACTACGCCTTTTACAGTTCTTTTTAGTGTGCCCAGTCAGCGGAGGTGGCATTCCCGCTTTGAGCTATATACCTAAACCTGCTTAGCTATATAGCTAAACGAAATTTGAACGGACCATCGGCTAGATGGCGCTGCACAGGAATCGATTGATAGGTGGCGCTGCTCTGTGTTAACTTTGCTAAAAAATAATTAATAATAATTCCTTTTAATTATTTATTTTAATTTAAATTTTTAGTTTTGTTTTTTTGCCATTCAAAATTATAGTAAACAAAAATAATAATAATAAAATTATGAATAAAAAAATAAATAATGAATTGAATTCCGACTAAAATTCGAAATACCCTTCAAGAGTATAACAGTATAATATTAGCAATCCAATTAATCAATGAAAGCTGTAAGTTTGAAACTGCGTTAAAATAAATTAAAGTCTTTAATTTATTTGTTATTTTGCTGTTCTTTTAAATGCATAAAAAATTAAAACAATAGATATATTTATGGTTTTAAAACTTTTTCTTTTATTTTAAAGTTTTTTTTTTGTTTCTTCTAATATTTATTTTCTTTTTTTCTGGTGTTTTTTTTTGTTTTTATTTTTGGAAAGAAAGAAAAGAGTACCTAACAAAATGTGTGTTTTCTCTTTTAAAAATTAAACGTACAGTTATATAGGGGTTTCAGTTTTTAGTGTGGTTTCTCTTTTTCATTTATTTCTTTGTTTGTTTTCGTTTTTTTAATCTTTTTTACATTGTATGATTTGTTTGTTGTTGTGGTTTGCATTATTTAAATATATATAACTTCTAGGCGAGAGTTTTAAATAATTATTTATGTACTTTGTAGTTGACTCTGTTAAGTGGTTGGTTGTTGTTTGTTTTTGTGGGATGATTTGGCTTCTATGAATATAAACTGCTATTGGGCCCATGTGTGTGTGTGTGTGTGTGTGTTTATAGTTGTAAATTTTATAACAATAACAAATTATTATACATAGTTATATAGCTTTAATAATATTAATAATTAAAAATCAATCAATCCAAGCGAATGAAATAAATTCCAGAAGAAAGACGACGATGACAAATTATGTTTTTGCATGCGTAACTAAAAACAGTAGAGAAAGAATAGAAGGAAGGAAGGACGATGGGAAGATAGGGTTTACTTTTTGGGATATATTTGTGGATTTTTGGGGTAATTACGGGGGCCCAGTTGTGTCTTCTTCTCGTTCCTCTTGCTGAAGCAAACATACGTCTTCCATTTTTTTTTTTACAATTTGAAATTGATTTTGTTTTTTATTTCTTTGTTTACAAATCTGTATATTATTGATTGGCTTTATAACTATTTTGTTTTCTATTTAAAAATTGTGTGTGTTGCTTTTACTAATTTACAGACAGTTTTTAAGCCCACAAAAAAAGAGATTGGATTGATGAATATGGAAAGGGATGTGTTACTTTTCCTGATTCCTATCCCTTTTTGTTGATATATTTATCTTTTGTTTTTTGTTTTAAGGCTAAAATGTAATTTGCTTATAAAATGTTGCTCTCCTGCTTCCTTCTTCGATTTTCCTTGTGAGGCTGAGTTTTTTTTTTTGTTTTCGTAAAGTAGATTTTGTGTTTTGCTTAAATTAGTTTTGGGTTATAAATTTAAATGTATGTATAATATTTTTACGCTTAAAACTTGTACACACAACTTAGTTTCATTAAGTTTTGTAGCTGATTTTTGTTTTTTTGTTTGTTTTCTTTTTGGATTTTTAGTTTGTTTTTGCAATTTATATAATTTAATAATAAATTTGTAATTTGCTTGTTTTTTGTTTTCTTTTTTTTTTGCCATTTCGTATATAATTTAAAATTATAAACACCCCCCAGAAGAATCCCAATTTCTTTTTTAGATACATTTGCTGTGTGCTTTGTGTGTATGCATGGTGTTGTGTGATGGACGTCTCTTTTTAGGGTCCATAGGCATCCGAACCAAAGTCAAACAGCCGATCGATGCCCTCGTGCGCATTTAGCGCATACGGATAATCATTATCGTCCGGCGGATTGATGGACACGAAGGCAATATCGTTGCTGAAATCTGTAAATGTAAAATGTGAAAAATGTAATATTTGCTTCCAATTTTTTGGGCAGATGAATGGCATTTAATGGCGGCTGAGTTTGAGGATATTCAGCATGTTGATTTTTCTTTTGCCGAGGTTACATTTATACATGTTTTATGCAGAGTAGAGAATAGAGGAGAGCTGAATAGAGCGAGAGATGTTGTTTTGGTGGATGCATGTTTTGAAATTCACGCCAGAGCTGAATCTCATGGTGCTACAAAATTTCAATCTCAAATATGAACAATTGGCCCCCGGAAGCGGTCAGTGTTGTTGCAGTTGCAGACCCACGAGAATTCAGTTCCAAAATGAATTTGACACGAGAGGACGAACGAATTTGCTGACGAGGCGTCGGGTTATGTCGATACATAATATATATATATATACACATTTATGCTTAGTTGTTATTATTATTACTGTTGTTGTAATTTTTTGTTATTAGTAAAATGGTTAGAAGCAGAAGTATGTTGATGTGAGCAGCAGTATGTGTGTGTGTATGGGTATTGGTTAATAATAATGTAAAACACATGTTGAAATTATTTGAAAAACACTTACAAAACAATGTCAAACTTGATGGGTTAATGGGTTTGGATGGTTTAGTTTTTGCATTTTTATTGGGGATTTTATAGTTAAATTTGTTATAATAAAATAAAACTACTTTATGTGGTTAGTATAACAGAAAACACATAAAACAAAAACTGTTATAATTATTTAGGTTTTGCATTATTATTGGGGATTTTATAGTTAATTTGTTATAATAAAATAAAATTACTTTATGTGGTTAGTATAACAGAAAACATATAAAACAAAAACTGTTATAATTACATAAAACAAAAGTTTAATTTAAATCAAATTGTCAATTTTGAACTGATTCTCGTTGGCCGAAATGTTTGCAAATGAAAATACAATATATATTTCACTTTTTGGTGTTCAATTTATTCATATTCGGTTTCATTTATGCTGCTGTGAGGATTTGATTTCACGCTCAGCAAGAACTCAGACTGTGATGCGGCTTTGAAATACACGCAGGTCACAGAATAAGTTCTTGACAAGTGCGCCTCTTAGATTTTTGGACTCGAATAAATCCATGTATATGTAGCTGTTATTTATACGCAGATTACGATGTTTTGTAGGATATTATTTACATGGCGACGATACAAAAAAAAAAACTCAGGCGGATGCAGAAATGATCATGGATGAGTGGGGCGGCGATTGCAAAAGCGCGATCGATCGATCAGGGGAGTAATATTTACAATTGCAGTCAAAATAATAGTGTTTTATATTCTGATAAGAACCGAAATTTAAATAAGTGAGCTTTTTTGCATCAGAAAATCCATATTTACTGGACATTACAAAAAATATAACCATATAAGAATTATACAATTAGTCTTTACATATTATTTTTAAACAAATATTGTTAAAAAGTTTCAAGCAAAACATGATTATTGTTTTTTTATAAATATAACTTTAAACAACAAACTATTATTTTGACCGCTTGATAGGAAAGAGAAAGGCACTTAATGGCTACTTTAAAATACTTACAGTCCGAGCCAATGTCATTGAAGAGCGCATCGAGGCCCTGGAGCGTGACATTGCTGCTGTTACTGTTCGCATCGCAGTCGGGCGGCAGATAGGGCTGATGGGTATCATCAGTTTTGGCGCCAGCGCCAGCGATGCTGCCATAACCGCCATCGCCGCCGTTACTGCTGCTATCCGCCACGGCAGCGAATTGCATTTGCAGCGAGCCTATCGCCGAGGATGTTGCTCCCTCTCCTCTCGATGATGTTGCTCCTGTTGCTGATGCCACAGAGTTTGTGGTTGCATCTTCCATTGCACAATTATACATGGGCACATCGCTGCGTCGCTGACTGTTGCCGCTGTAGCTTATTGTTGGGTTCTGGGAGTTGCTGCTATGGTTGTTATTGGTGTTGTTGTTGTTATGACTATTAAGCGTAGTGGTTGCTGTTGTTGTTGTTGTTGTTGCGCTGCCCGCTGCCATTGCTGGTGCTATGGCCGCTGCTGTCCGACGTCGCTTGGTGGGCGTTGGAGGCGAGGATTCTGTTAAGCTGCTAAAAAGCTCCTGGATGGTGTTCTGCTGTTGCTGATGCCGCTGTTGCTGTTGGAGGAACTGATTGTTGTTGTGTCGCACCACCACCGGATTTGTTAGCGTCGGCACCAACTGGCTCAGCTCCGCATCGACATCATCCTCCTCCGTTGGCTCCTGCTGTTGCTGCTGGTTGAGCTGATGATGATGATGATGCTGCTGCTGCTGGGCCGTCATCGCAATATCACAAATGTTATTATATTCAGGCTGGGATTGTTGCTTGCCGGCATCCTCGATCGATTTGCTGAGGTTGCGGGCCGAGCGGTATGGTGCAGTACCTAGAATAATTTAATGCAAAATAAAATATTATTAAATACATATTTAAAGCGAGAAAATGACTACCCACCTAATCCCTTCGTGCTCATGGCATCGATATTGTTAAAGAGCGGATCCTTTAGCCGTGGATTTGTCAGCGGATGCAGTCGTGTGGAGGTAGCCGTCCGTACGCCACTGCCTCCGGCACTGGCTCCGGCTGACGATCTGACGTAGCCATCGCCTGACGCAATTGGCGAATTCTCTGGCGATTGGTCATGGCAGAGGAAGACGTTGATCTCCCCGCTATTCTCCGCTTTAACGTAGATCTCGCGCGGCAACTTTGTGTTGGGCAACTGCAAAGGCAAACCAATGATGATTATTAACCAAAAATCCACAAAAAAAAAACAATTCCAAATAAGAAATAACACAAAAACAGCGATAATAAAAAGCCAACAAACTAACTTTTGGGGAGCTGTAGAAATTTTTAAGCGGTCGCCGAACCGCTTCGCAGCAAAAGAGAAACACAAATGAAGCGGCGGGGACTGAGAATGAGCAGTGCTTTTTTTTTTGCCGTTCGCTTATTTTTAGAAATGATATTTTGCTTGGCCCCCCCGCCCCCTTGTCATCTTGTTCGTTTCTTTTCTTTTACTTTATTTTATTTTACTTGTGGCCTCTCTTTTTTGCTTGAGTGTTGTTGTTATTTTGGCCAACGGCGTTGCCAGAGGGTTTTTCAACCACTTAACATAACTGTAACTTGGCCAATCTTGATTTCTGGCCAAATCTCTCCAGTGACCAATTCTCTCTCCTGATATTTTTTTTGTAGAGAGAGTAAGAGGGTTCATTAAACAGTTCAAGGCAAGCGGAAACATTAAGCGCTCGCTTCTGTGTACATATATTTTTTTTATAAATAGTGCGCCATCCACTAGGAAGATTGAACAGCAACAGCGGCGGCGTTGGAGAAAACTTTGTTGGACGACGACGACGAGGCCAGAGATTTACTTGATATCAAAAAGGAAGGAAGGTGGACACCAGAAGGAGGGGCGCGCACAGATGGGAGGGATTCCAATTTCGCCTGTCGTCGTGTCTGCCGCGTCTATAAATAATCGCCACGTTTAATGGCATGCAGACGCTAAGAAGAAGCAGCGACGTTGAATAGAAAAAGGCAAAAGAAAAGCAGGAAAAGCTCTGACGTCGACATAGTGTATGTGGGCATATAGCCACAAAGATATGAGCTGGTGGTACAGAAATACAAGTAGGTGATGATATATCGTGAGGGAAATCAATCAAAGATACATATATCGTCTTCCAAATAAAAGTACTCACCACAAGCTTGGCCTCTGGTGGCGCCTTGATCACTATGACAATCTGATCTTTGAACAGATCCACGTTGAGCAGGTCATTCTGCGTGACATAGGCCATGCCACCGGCATTCTCCACCTCCTGCGAGATCTCGGCAAGATTACCTCGCATCTGATCAATGGCCATATTCAGCTCGTTCTCCAGCTGCTCCAGTCGCTCCGACTCTGCCTCGATGCGACGCGATCGCTCTTGGCTGACCATCGATTGACCTCCTCGCCACTGGATGTTGTTCTTCGATTTCTTCTCCAGTATATTGATGCCCTCGAGGACATTGGTGATGTCGTAGATGCGACGCTTTTGCACGTGCAAACGATTGGAGGCCTCGTTTAGATCCACCACACCGTCGGGCGATTCCTGGAGCAGGTCTACAAACTTTTTGGTCAAAATCCCCAGCGAGGTGTCCGCCCGATTGCGATCGCCGCTCGAGGAACTTGCCACCGATGCGGCCAACTGCTGCTGGGGCGTCGACAGGGAGAAGGAGTGAAGCGATGAAGATGCCGCCTTGGCACTGCGCTCCACCACCACATCCTCGTCCAGCTCGGCCGAGTCCACGTCATGGTGGCTGCTATGCCGCAACTGCTGGGGCGTGCTGCTGGCCACATGCTTTTGGTACACCACGGTTTGGTGGTGCGCGCTCTGCTTGGCCTGCTTCTTGGGGTGGATCTCGTCGGTGACGGCGTGTGGCCGGCGCTTGACCTGGTTTCAAGGAAAATATTTTTTTGAAATTATATTAACTATAAATTTACAGTAATTTCTGGCTTAAACTCACCTTGTAATAATTTGTGATATCATTGGACTTGCCGGTCGCCTTCCATTGCTGCTGCGTCGTCTGTCCCGCCGCCGCCGCTGCTGCTGCCGCTCCCGTTGCCACCGCCCCCGTGTAGACATGATCCCGCAGATGTGCTGCCACGCCGCTGTTGCTGTTGCTATTGCTGTTGCTGTTACTGTTGCTAGTGCTGTTGCTGTTACTGTGGCTGTGGCTGCTGTCGCTGCTGATCAGACCGTGATCGTAGTCCAGATCGAGGGATTCGTTCTTGATCACAATGTTGTTGTTGTTGTTAATGTTGGTCTGGCCGCCGAGCAGATCGTAGTTGAGTTTGCGTGCAACCAGCGGATGGTGGCCAGTGGCACCGCTTCCGGTTCCGCTGCCGGCATAATGTTGCTGGTGGTGGTGTCGCTGGTGTGTGTTGCTGTTATTGCTGCCTGTATTGCTGCTGCTATTGTTGTTGTTGTTGTTGGATGCAACGGTCACAAAGAATTTGGACATTTCGCTGCAGTTCTCGCTCTCTCTTGCTTACGCTCTCCCTCTCTCCTCCGTATCACTCTTAGCTCTCTCTCTATGTGTGTGTGTGTGTGTGCTGTAGTTGCTGCTGTTAAGTTTGCCTCATTTTACTGTAGCATACTTTTGAGCACTGCCTTCGAAAGGTTGCCACCCAGTTGGAAATTTCAGCTCATTGATTATTGTACTGCCTGTGTATCGCTCTCTCCCGTTCTCCCGCTCTCTCTCGGTCTCTCTCGTTCACTTTGCGCTTATCAACTAAATTAGCACCTAAGGATTCTTCACATCTGCAAAAAACAAGAACAAACAAAATACATAGAGGTTAAATATGTGTGTGCGTTTTTTATTGGCGATTATTTATAGCTAGTTTGACCCGATTTGTCCAATATTTTATGCATTTGGCACATTAAACTTTTGATCTGTTTTCTGTTGTTTGTTTCCAGTTTAAAATGCGCACCGAGCGGCGAGCGATCGCGTACGAATGTGGTGTATGTGGAAATGCAAATAAATGCGAAATGAAAGGCAATGGGGGAAGAAAACAATTTCACGACTATAACATAAAAAAATGAGCACTACAAAAAAATAAAGAGTCGGGTGATACGGTTTAAACTGGTGAATAAACGAGTATTTACTCGACTTTTTTGTGGCTAAGATCAGCGCAACTCTGATAACAGGACTGACAATTTTGGAAATCGTTTGACTGATAAACTTAAAGCTTTGCAAAAAGATTTAACCAATAATTGTGTGATCTGAACTACCAAATATTTTATAAAAAATCAATTAAAATATAAAAACAATTGACAAAGCTGGAAAAATTTATGAAATTAATTGCAAATGTTATTTTGTATGGAAGTTTGTAATAACGTAGCACCTTTTTCAATTGATTTAAATTCCATAAGTATTAAAAATTAAGAAAATCTACTCATTTTTAACCAGTAATCACTTAAATAATTTACATTTTTTAAAATTTAAAACAAATTTCCAGTTTGAGGCTAAAAAAAAAAAACTTGAATTACTCTAGTTTACAAATGTTTGAATACATTTTTAATAATTTTATACTCAAAGTACCCAATCTCAAGGCTATCATAGAATGTCAAATATATTCAAAAATTACTTGAAAAAACTGCTATAATGCCCCGAGGTGGCTAACAACCGAACCGGATAGGTATTTCGGGTAACGACAAGGGGGTCCAGAGGAGGAAAAAGCCGCTCTGAAGCATGCCGAAACTATTTCTGAACCCAAGAAGAGACGCGCGCTTAAAAGTTCGCCAACGAAATGTCAATAAACTCGGCATAAAATATTAAACAATCAATATGTCCGTCTCAGCGTGAAAGAGGAAGAATCAGAAGGCAAAAGCGACAAACGCAAAAGAGAAGGCAAGCAAGCAAACAGCAAACAGAAGGCAAGCAGGCAGCGGCAAAAGGTAGAAACAGGAAAAACCATCAGGTAAAAAGAAGAAAATAACGTTACTACTACTCAACGGCCGGCTACAACCGCTTTTGGCAAAATGCGAGCGGCGGACATAGCTTAGAAAACGTGCACTGAGTGAAATTGTAAAGATCAAAGTCATAAAATAAAAATGAATGTTAAAAATAAAATAAATATTGTTAAATTTTTGACCTAATTGTTTTTACACATACTTCACACTTAAGTATTATTTTCATTGAATACAATTTGTAAATATCCTTTTCACGAATTAAATGTGTATAAAAAGAACAGGTTTTTCTGCCCGTGTATACCTGTCACCTCTTGTTCCACAAGCTCGGCTTTAAGTTCATTAGAGGAATGTTGGCCCCATTCGCGGTTAAAGTGAGCATGAATGGAAAGAAGACAACAACAAATTAAAATGCTCAAATGAGCGAAAAAATAAGAATAACGAATAATAACACCAACGACAACAACAACAACAACAGGGCAGGTAAAAATGGCAATTAGCGCTCGGCCCTGCATGCAATGTTAATTTGCATAACAGAAACTGTTAACCAAACAGCAGTCTGTTATGAGTTATGCAAAGAAACCAAATAATACAAAAAACTAGAGGAATGACATCCGCAAAACTATGCGGTTTCCTCTTCAACTCCACTAGCTGACTAGCTGATAATTGTTCTACATGTTGGGGCAAAAAATGGTAAAAAATAAGAACACAAAGCTTAAGAAAGATTGTGCAAAGGTAAAATGAAGCAGCGAAGCCCACTTAAATGTCGTTTGGAATTTGCTGAAATTCGCAAGAAATTGGAATGCCAAACGCGTCAGGTAATGTCGTTGCACACTGGCCCCAACTTGTAAATATTTCCCTGCTTAAATTCACCTGCCTCAAGGTCAACCAACTATGGAAACTGATATCATTTGCTTTGGATTCAAAAATATTAAAGGAAATCTTAAAGTTTTTGGTCAACCTCGAGGGCATCGCTGGCGCTTAGCGATCTGTGAAAATTCTTTGACGCAATCTTGAGATGGTTTTTCGAAGGCACATGAAGACACTTGCTGATACATTCTCTCTAGCTCGTGACACCGGGGCTTTGGTGTTGCGTTTTTTCTGGCTCTTCCCCGAAAAATCACATTATTGGCTGGTATAATTATTAAATATTAAGCCACTGTTCCCCGTCCAGACGTTCTAACTCACTTGGCAGCGTTGGCGGCAACTTGATTCCCCCAAGCCTTTTCTACATTAGCCAAAAAGCTTGGCAGTGATTTTTCAAGCGTGTGTTAATTTGTTTGTGTGTGCTTGAGCTGAAAGAAACGGTATCTGCTTACAGACGAATGAGCTCAGGTAATTCAAGTCCTATACATGGAAGTCGTACATTCCTCTCTCTTTCTCTCAGTTTTACCCCTTTTATTTTCCCCACCTCTCTCTCTTTCTCTCTCTCTTGGGGCACCGCCAAAAGAAATGCTAAAAAATTCGTTGGCGGCAGTGCAAAATGATGTGGGCCAGACAAAAGGCAAACCGAAAAAAAATTAAAAACAGCGACGAGAAAGGGTAAAGGAGAAAAAAACAAAACTAAAACCAGGTAGGTCTCTTTGCCGATTGAAATTTCCAATTTAAATTTCTTTTGATCGGCACGCAAAATGCGAACAAGTAGCTGGAAATATTATCGGAGATTTTGCATCTAAAATTACAGTGAGACGTATAAAATTACCGAAAGAACACAGTTTAGCAGGAAAAATAATTCACGCATGCAACCCCAGAGATTTTATAAATAACAAAATTAAGAAAGAACCAGACCTACAGCTTTGTTTAAAAGAATTGCAGCTACTTCTAAACAAATACCATCGCAGAATAAATAAAATAAATAGAAAAGTAAATAAGTAAAAGTTTAAGTAATTAGAAATATGAATTTAGGCGAGTGCCGTCCCTGCATTATATATTTTCCAACTACTACAAATAGCTCAATTGGTATCTGGAGGGCAAATGTATCTGTATCTTTACTTTAAAAATAACTTCTAAGTGCAGTCAGTTATCATCTCTGCGCACACACAAAAAAAAAAAAAGTTTAACAACGAAAAGCGAAGCAGCCCACAAGGCAAAGCAAACATCAGCTACAACATTATGCAAACAGGGAAATGAACATGAAAAATACCAATGTGACGAATGAAAAATCGTTGAAAATGTGATGTGGCCTACACGGCAAATAAATAAATAACAACTTGTTGTTTTTTGTTGTTTGTTATATTCCATTTTTCCTTGTATCTCTCTCAATCTCTCCCTCTCTTTGCAATCAACACTGACGCAACAGAGCGCAGCAACAATAAGTAGAATAGCTTTTCTGTGCTATTCTTTGCCTCGGTTTTTTCCTTTTTTTTTTACTTCTCAGAGAGTGACTGATAAAGAAAAAGGCTAGAAATACAGCGTACACATTATGTAGAGGCCAAGTAAATAAATGGGGAGCGTGTTTGGGGGTGGTGTGCGAGTGGGAGAGAAGTCAGCCAAGCGACTCAAGGCACGCAATGCGGCTAGGCCACTACTACTATTGATAGCGGCGGCGCCCTCTCTTGCACACAGCTTGGCCGTGTTAATTTCAAATTAGTAAAGGTAAATAAATAAATAGAAAAAAAAGAGACAAGCCAAGTAGCAAATTTTTGTAGTTCATATATTTTTTAGGATGTTTTTTAGGTTAAAGAACATGTTTAATCTAAGCAAAAGCTAAAGGCAATTAAAATTAAAAACAAAAATTAACTACCCAACTCTTAAGCTTAATATTAGGAATAAGAATATGAATAATGCGTACACTTTTAAATAAACAATAATCCCTCAATAGCAAAATGTAACCGGAAGCTTGAATGAATTCCCTATTCTTCTCTGGTTCCCCCAATCGAATACTCATAATTGCTTGCATTAAATTTGCAGCATAATAACTGCATGCCAATTTACCGTTATTAATTAATTATGATGCCCATATGCATTTACATGCTTATTATTTATGCATTTACTATTTGTGCAGCCACACTCGCACACGCAGGAACACAAACACACACACATGAGAAGCAACACCCACACAAAGTTGAAATGCTAAAAAGTTTCGCTTTCTTTTTGCACATTATTTTGCATGCGCAGTAGAAAAGCAGGGACAAGTGAAATAAATACCAATAAATAAAGTATGACGAGTGTGTGTGTGTGTGTTGTACTACAAGGTGTTAGGCAACAACAATTGCAATTGAGAAAAAAATACACGAATTTTGTGTATTAAGCAGCAGTTGAGAAACAGAGAGAGAGCAGAGCCAGAGCGAGAGATAAGACGGATGTGTGTGTGGATGCTGCAGAGCAACCAAAAGGGAAGCCAGAGAAAGAGAGAGAGAGAGGGCAAAAGACAGCAGAGCCAGAGAGCAAAAGCCGGCCTGAAAATCGAAATAACAGCTGTTACACACCGATACAATCACAATCCACATGGAAGTTCTCACTTCTCGCTCTCTTGTTTTTGTTGCCGGCTGGGGGAAAAAAGTCCACATGGTCAATTTTTTTTCTAGCCGGTTTTCAGTTTTATTTTCAGCATTATCTATTATCTTTAAATTAAGCCAATTACATTTAGCCCAATGCTCTTTCAAAGCTTAACCCAGAAATGTCAATCGAAAGGCGATATCGAATTTGCAAAAGCCAAAAAAGAAAGGCGACTTGCAATGCATAAAAGGGGAACAACAAAAAAATGTTCCTAGAAAAAATGGCCACTTAACATTGCCCTGTTAAAAGTAGATATTGGCACAAAATATCGACGTTCGTATCGATATCAGCTATCGAGGCTAATCGGCCCTAATCGAAAGTAGCGGAAAACAGTTTGGAAAGTGTGCTGAACTTACGCTTTTCATACATTTTTTTAGTTTTAAATTGAATTATTAATTAAGTAATTAAACCAAAGATATACTTAAATATTCTTAGTTACTAAACCCAGTGCTCAAGGGATTTTTAAATAATAGAACTTTGAAATTAGCATACAATCGTTGATTTTGGCTTATTACAGGGACTTGTTATAAGCCTCGCAAGTGTTTTCAGCTGTTTTTTCAGTTTGAGAAAGCCCAAAAATAATTGCCAACTGGCTGGAGAAAACGAGTGAGAGGCGGAGAAAAGTTAACTTGTGAGAAAGAGAAGGGAAGCTTTATCCAGGGAGAGACGACGCGCACAAAATGCGTCGCAAAATATTTCACAAGCCAAAAAAAGAAAACCCGGTGCGGCGCGGAGCAGCGAAAACGGGAAATCTTTTTGCGTGGGTGTGGAAGGAAATTCAATGCCGGCTGTTTGGAGCACTTTCGGGGAAGTCCCCACCGTGCATTTATCGGCCATTTACATTCCGCACTGTGTACATAATGTGCAAGGGAACGAAATTCATTTGCTTGGACACTCGAACGATGACGCATTAGATTCAATCGAATATTGTGTACTGAAAAAGTCTGATAACACGGGGTCCAATATATGTACATACATACATATGTATGATGTACACATAAGTACATTATAGTGAGAGTATATGTATGTACACATATGTACACGCGATTAAGTTGTGGGCACAGATTAAACGCGGAAAACTGTTGATAGAAGTCCAGTGAAATTGACCAATATGTACATTTGTATATACGGGAAAAGTCCAATTAAATAATACACATTTTTATACATATATTATAGATAATAAGTTATATTTTAAGTATAATAACACAGATTTAGGAAATAAGCTATATTTCATTAGCATCTATTATAAAAAGTCACACAAACTTATTATATTTAAATTTTCCAGCAGTAAAATGATCTTGAACCTTTTGGAATATACACATTTCTTTGAAAAAATCAACCCGCTAGCAGGTAAAACACACCTGCCAAATATTAACAACTAAAACCTAGTCTTATATTTTTGATAAAAGTATAAAATAAAACCTTTACCTGGGCAGCAATAAAAAAAAATGCCGCCGACTGTCGGCAAACAAAACACTTAAGAACTTAAACATGATGGAAACTTGAAATTATTATCTCTTCTCTCCCCCTTTTAAGAATAACCAAAATTGGAGCATTGAGGGATTGAAAGAATGAATGATGAAACCATATCAGTTTTGGAGGTTATTAGTGGGATTTAAGAAAACCCAAAAAATGAATGATTAATTGACTGAAGGCGAAGGAGGACAATTCGGTTAAATAAATATTTGAAATTGAAGACAATTTGTAATTTTATTAAAAGAAACTCAAAATGTAATAAATTGATCACTGTATAGACAGGAATTTTTGGTTTAAGATACTTGAAATATTATTTCGACGGAATAAATAGGTAAAGTATATGGGAACGCACCTAAAAATTGGAATTTCTGACTTTTGTCGTTTCTTTTTGTCGCCTTTTTACTGCTTATATATCACACGCTCTGCTTGTTCTTCTTCTTCCGCTCCTCCTCCACGGCCGCAGCCTGCTTCCTCTTGCTCTTTGAATATCACACACGTTTCATTTTTGCAAATTTTTCTTTTGCGGGTGTTTCTTTTCTTTTACTTTTTCGATTCCACGTATTATATACCGCTGCCGCTGCTTCTTCCTCTATTCTTTTATTCAGTCTCCGCGAGTGTGTGTGTGTGTGTGTGTGGGAACTTTTAGCTTTACTACGCGGTTTTTTTTTTCTTTTTTACATTCTATATTCTACTGTGCGTGACGTCAGCAGTTCGTTCGAGCATTTGTTGTTGTAGATATCACATAATTGTTACACGCGCGCACTTTGTTGCTGTGTTTTGTTGTTATTATATTTTGGAGTTTTGCAGTTGCAGTCTTTTGGGTTTTCCTCTCGCTTTTCAGTTCTCTAGTTACTTAGTTTTCCAATTTCCCCCCACACACTGGTTCTCACATTTTTGCGGACTGGCGACGAAAGAGAGAACTTGACGTTTTGATTGAGACAGCATTTCGGTCCGTTTGATTGTAAGCCTACATAATCTATGCCGATAGGACAGCCATTTTCTAGTTTACTTTTACATTACATTTAGACCGCGGCAGATGATTTTCTCCTCGGAAACTCTCGAAGTTACGACTTTTTCGCGGCACAACCGCCTTCAACTGAATGAATTTGAACGCGCGTTTCAATTCGGACCCACAATGTCTTTTTTCTGGAGTTGGACAACGAAATCCACACGGAGAAGCGCGAGAGAATCTCCTAGAGAGAGAGAGAGAGAGCGAGACACGGGAGAGAGAGAGAAAACGCAAGGGTATGAAAAACGTAACACGCCTAACGTAACAATTTGTTTTTGTTTCCCTGCTTCCGTAAAGGGTAATTGAAATAAATCGTTGTATCTCAGTCTTTGGCTCAGTGCTATAGGTTTATTTTTTTGATTTTGCAAATTAGTTGCACGGTTTTTCTTTAGTTTTCCACGAATTCCCCCGAGCGGCGGCAGCAACAACAACGAGAACGACCGGCGGTGAGCGAAAAACTGATTCGCCGCAATCGAGACGAAGCTAAAAAGACCTCACAATCTCGCGAGACGGCGAATTGGCTGAGAGAGAGGGACCGTGGGAGCGAGTGTGGAACGTAAAAATGTCTCTCAGCTGCCGGCTAAAAGCCGCTCACATGGACAACGCGGCGACGTCGCTGTTACCGCACCCACAACGGCAGCGACGCCGGCAGAGGCAGAGGCGGTGACTGAGGCGGGAACATCCTGCATCTGCATCTTTATCAGTTGTGTGCCAAGTGTTGCATTGCATTGCAGTGACGACATTGTTGCCACATCGCACGTTGCCAATTTTCAGGCAGAAAGGTTTTTTTTTATATAGAGAAGGTTGTAAAAATTGTCATTAAATTAAATTTGAATTTTTTTAGACAGTTTTTGCTATTTTTCTTAAAAATTTGGCACACAAAATATAGACCAAAAATGTTTGATAGAGCTATTATATTTTTATATGGTTATGGTTGTACTTTTAATAAATATTTTTTTCAAACTCTTAAATTTATTAAAGACATAACTTTAAAATCTTGTGAATTCTTGGATCTGCGTATAAAATGTGTTTATTTGCATATTTATTGTTAAAGACTTGATTCACATTTTTTAGACAATAATTATTTATTTTGCATTTGACCCGATTGGATTAAGAGCAACCTGAATAAATATTTGGGCATGTTTTTGTATGCCAGGTTGTTATAGTTTCTATCAGGGGTTTGGAAGCGTAGAGAAAGCGAAAGATATCAACACTTGATTTCTTATAAGAATCGCTAGACGAATCGATCTAGGCATACTTTAGATATGTTCTTTAAATTCTTCAAGAAAACCTTTTTTTTTTAATAAAGAAAGTAGTTGTAAGGAAATTGATTTTATATCTTAAAGATACATTTAACTTTTAGTGCTCTTTTTGGAAATATATAAATAGATAAAGTATAAAAATATGTTAACATACCAGACTCGATTTAACTGATATTCCCGATTTATATATTTAAAAAAAATCTTCCGACAACTTGTCAGGCGATCTTCGCTGCCAAAAAAAACCCTACCCTACATGAGACTCTCACAACAACCCAAAATGTAATCTCTATTCCAGTTTTCGTTTTATATTATTTTTTTTTTATTTCGCTTTTTTTTTTTCATTGTGCCTTGAGGAGTGCAGGGCTGTGTTATCCTTTGGTTTTTTTTTTTTGTCAGAAGAAGAATGATCAGCAGACACTCACAGATCGGTGAGTGTGATTTTTTTCTCCTTTCCCACAAACCAGTCGAGACAACCAGAAGAAGCCTAGCTGGAGGGAGGGAGGGAGAATCACCCCTCACAGGCGCAGAGAGAAGAACTTTGGCCTGTGCCCCCTCCACTGTACATACATTTTTTTTTTGTGCATATGCAATTAGAGTATCTCTATGCTTGATTTTTTCCTACCGCTATTTTTTTTTTTTTTTTGCAAGATTTTTATGTCGGGAGGGCGAAGAAAGAGGGAACTTCCCACGATCCTTGGGTGGACTTTTGTACTTTGGAAGACACATTTTATGTGCGCAGTGTCATAAATACTTTTAATTAACTGGAAATGCGTGCGTGTGCGAGTGCCTGTGTTATTTTGCTCTCCATTTATGCATGTGTGCCGAGTATCTGTGACCGTGCCTGTGTGTATCCGTTTTCTGCCCATTCCGTAACCCAGAAGCGGGGCGTGAGTTTTCAGAGGCGTATTTACCATAATTTGCTTGATTTTTTTTCCGTTTGTCATATCATAAACTTTTACAGGCAGGCAAAGGGAAACCAGCGAGCGAGAGTGTGAGGGGAGGACACACAAAGCGGTGGCATAGATACGATTAACACAAGCGCTGAGCACATACAACCTCGTATTTGAGCAGATGTTACTTCTATGGTCTTTGGTCTAAGATCAATGAACTCATTGCCCAAAATTTGGCTTAGACACTTGCGACATTTTTTTGCAAATGAAATATGAAGGAGGTAACACAAGTGTAGTTTTAGTTCCATTATTTCTTTAGGAAAAACGTTGACAGCTACATTAACCAGTCAAATTTAATATAATTAATTTTTACTCAAGCGGTTTTTTATATAATATAACCACCATAATATTTCCTTTACTAATAATAATAGATATTATTATGCGCCTTAACAAACCTTGATTAATTTTAACATTTGCTTAACAGTCAGTTAAAGTTAACTGGCCGTAAAAGCCATTCATGCAATGCATTCCTAAAGTCCTTTATATTACCTGAAGCCTAAACTATAATTTAAGCTTCTTATGCATCTTCCTTATTTTCATAAATAATCTTTACCTAAGCCCAAATAAGTCTAACCTCCAGTTAAAACTTAACACTCGGTTTAAAACTTTAGAAAAATTTGGTTTACTTTTTAACCAGCAGTTAAGTACTAATTAACAACTTGATAAATCTAACAAAACTTTTAAATAAAATTAGATTTAGTTCATTACATAATAATCAGTCTTAGACTTGCCCCCTCCGACCCTAACTTCTGGTTAATTTCCAAGCCAGACGCATTTAGCCGGCAGCTTTTCAAGTCTGAGAGCCCAAAGGAATTGCGTCAAGCATTCATCTAGCAGCTTCTCGTCAACCTCGTCATCGTGCTTCATCGTCATCCTGGTCCTCATACCCATCCGCCTCCTCCCTCTGCGCCTGCATCCTCCTTCTCCTCCTTCGTCTCCCTGCAAGTCCTTCTCGTCAACGTCAGAGCAGCAGCAACCCCTTTGGCTTTCAGTGGGGTGCAAAAATCGTGTATATATATATATCGTATATAGCACAGCCTCCCGTGAGTGCCAGACATATGGGAAATGAAAAAGAGCTCCTCGAGGAGAAGCGGAGCAGGAAAGGAAACCACGACGCCGGCATGGAATGCAATCAGCAAGAAAACTACTTGAGAATCCCAAGCCCTGGCGCGATATTCAAATTTGAAAATAAAAGTGAAACAAAAAGGGGGAGGGGGGTGAAGAATCGGAGAGAGGAGCGACGCTGGCAGAGACGACTGTTGACGTTGACGTCGACGTCGCCGCCTGTTTGACAGAATGTCAGTCAGAGTTTTTAGAGTCACAGGGTGAAGTTTTTCACACAGTGGAAAGATATAAACTTATATAAGAAAGTTATTGAAAATGTAACGACTTTTTGTTCATTAAAAATTACATTAATAAACTTTTTCAGTTCAATATTAAGCTATTAATCTGAAGTAATATATTATTTACCTTATCTCATAATATTTGGCATTTAATATTCAATAATAATAAATATAAAAAAAAAATTCTTAAAAAAATTAAGTTAAATAAATATTTTAATAATATAATATAATCAACAATAGTAAATAATTTAATTAAAATTCCAAATAAATATCATACTTTTTTCCCGGTGCATTACTATCCCATAATGCTCCTTTGCTGCTGTCTGACTATCAAACCACCTCCTCCCTGTTCCTTTTAATATCCTCAAATTCTTTTTTTTTTTTTCAGCATGACTGCAGGAAACACTTATTGAACATCTTCTGGCATGTCCTGAGCTTTTCCTGAAATTGATTGTGACGTGAAAGAGGGGATTTTGCACTCCTTGAATTTTCATAAGTCTCTGCCCCGTCTTCTATTTTCTTGTACCTTTTTTTTAAAACTGGTTGAGATTTAAGGCCCTGGCAACTTCACACAAATTGCAAATTAATTTGATTTGAACGTTAATTATTTTTACAGACATTGCATTGGGGTCTGAACACCATTAGAGTGGAAAGTGCTCGGTTAATGCGGGGTAATGAGACGGTGGAAATTCACTGAGAAAAACCAGACATTACTTTAGGAACCTGATTACTATTTTTATTGCAAATCAATCTTGAAAACCCGATTATGGAAACAATAAAATAATATAAAAATAACCTTCGATTTCCAAGTAAATAAATGTAAATAAATGTTCTCATTTTCCATTAAATACCTGTATCAGTTGACTTTATTGTTGGGCAGTTGGGAAAACTACCAAGAGGTAAAGGCAATAACTACGAATTACGAATCACATTGCTCAACGATCGACATTGAGACGTGCGACCCCACCACCGTCGAACCCCATTTAAGCTTCCACTAGCGTGTGTGTGTGCGTGTGTGTGTGATGGGAAAGAGAGAAATACCTTAAGTGGACTACCTGTCCGCCCTAACTGTGAGTGCGAGATTGCTCAACAAACCCACAGAGATACTCTAACAAACTCACACTCTGGCAATTAGACTTGTGTGTACATATATGGCTAGACATTCTTGGTTTTTGGTTTTTAGTTTTCGGTTTTTGGTTTTGAGTTTGGCTTCGGTTTCGGTCTCGACCGCAGCACGTTCAATGAACTTATATATCTCTTTGGGCCACAAGTTGGGAATACCTATAAATGTCTAATTATTCAGTTAGATGTAAGTGGAAGCACCAACAGAAATACGAGTGATGGTAAACAAAACAGTCTAAAATACCATAAGAGTTAGTCACACTCTTTCAACACTTTCATTAAATTAAGCAAGTTTCAAAATATTACAGGAAAAGTAAATCAAGTTCCTATATTTCTTAAATACTTACACAGTTGACGCCTTGATTGAGCAATTTTGAAACGTAATCCTAAGTGTCTTTTTGGCGGCAGCAATTTGTGAATAGGTTTTATAATAACTTATGTTTTTGTTTATAAATATAGTAATTAGCAAAAAACTTAATTCCAATTTAATAATATTTTTTGTTTGTAATAAATAAGTAAGCGTTATTTTGCTTTAAACGAATTTGGCTTTTGCAATAAAATGTAGAAAACTTATGGTAATAACTTTTAGAACGATTTGAAAGTAACTTTTAGAATAGAAACACTTAGGAAGTAATGAGATTTTGAAAAGACAACTTGTTTAACACGTAAAAAATGTTTAAGAATAAATAACAAATAGAAAACTTGATGGAAATTTTGAAAACAAGATTTAGCAGATAGTTTTGGGTCTTATACTATTTTT